CGCCGCCATCGCGCCGCCGCTCCAGGGGCGCTTCCGGGGCACGACGCGTCACTTCCGGCCCGGGCCGGAAGGGGAGAGGTCGCGGGGACGGCGCGAGCCCGGGGCGCCTCCGGGAGGAGAGCGGCGGGAGGTGCCTCGTGGAGGGGAGGGCCTCTGCGGGCGTCCGGGGCTGCTCGGGGGCCGGGACCCACCGCCCGACGGGGTCGCCGCACCCCACCCCCACCCGGGTCCGACCCTGAGCCGTGATGGCCTTCCCCTCCCGCCCCCCTCCGGGTCCTGGCCCATGCCCACGCAGTGATGGCCCCCCAACCCCAGATACGGCCCTGAGCAGTGATGGCCCCCCCACCCTGGTCCGACCCTGAGCAGTGAAGCCCCACCCCGCCCCACCCGGGTCTGACCCTGAGCAGTCCAGGGGCGCCTGGGTGGCTTGGTCCATCGGTTAAGCTGCCGACTCTTCATTTTGGCTCAGGTCATGATCTCTCGACCTTGAGATTGAGCCCTGTGTCCTCTGCGCTGGGCGTGGAGTCTACTTGAGATTCTCTCTCCCTCTTCCTCTGCCCCTTCCTGCTCACACACTCTCTCCCTCTCTTAAAAATAATTAAAAAAGACAACACAGTCATCACTTAAGCAGCACATACGTCGTCACGCACTGAAATCAAGTTCTCAGACAACCATCTGAGCGGCCCTGCAGGACTGCCTCTGCGAGAGGCAGCCTCAGCTGGGTTCTGCTCATAGCTTTTATTTTGTTTTTTATCAGAAAAGCAAGGACAGATGCCTCCAAGCGTGGGAAAGGAGTACACAGGGATGGCAAATATCTTGAGGCAGGCTTGCATTTTCCCCGACGACGTGTAGGCACGCAGGGAGGCAGTCATGGGATAAGGGAGGAGCAGGAAGGGGGGATGACGGTTACATTCTTTCCTAGCTCCTAACCTATGCCCTGCCCCTGGGGATCGTGGGATCCTGTTCCTTCTGGGCCATTGCTTTCAACAGCCGGAGGCCAGGAACGCTGCTGACGTTTCAGCTGCTTCCACACTCACCCCTTAGGGCTTACAATATTCTAAGAATAACTCCACAGTCCCCCTTTTTGTTTAGTGGGATATGTAGGTGGGCTATTTAAGGGGGTGGCGAGGATCTGTGTGGTCGCTACAAGTGTGTTTCGGGTCCTCTAGGCAGAACAGCAGGAGAGGCTTGCCTTGATGACTATAACGAGAAAGGAGATTATTAAAAGCAGTATAGCCATGTAAAACCAAGAGCGGAGATTGAGCTCAGAGAACCAGTTTTTTGGATAGAGCCAGGTAGAAATATTGAGAGTATTAATGGTAGCTTGTTGGCTTTCTTGTTGGAGTTCCTGTATTTGTGCTTGTTACTTAAGTTTTAGATTTTCAATGGAGAGGGGCGCCTGGGTGGCTCAGTGAGTTAAGGGTCTGCCTTCGGCTCAGGTCATGATCCCGGGGTCCTGGGATCGAGTCCCTCCCTGCTCAGCAGGGAGTCTGCTTCTCCCTCTGCTCCGCCCCCCTGCTTGTGTGTGCACGCATGCTCTCTCTCTGACAAATAAATAAGATCTTAAAAAAATATATTTTCAATGGAGAGATTCAAGGAGAGGAAAAGGCTTGATTAAGATGAGTTTTCAGTTGCCCCCAAGTCTTGTTATAGGGAATCGAAGTAATGCAGTAGGAGGTAAACTCCGAGTCACGAGTTAATTGGGATCTAGTCCAGAGTGCCTGTTGATGTTCTCCTAACCAAATTTGTTACTTTTGACCTGTTCTTCTACATCGGTTGTAGTGTTTTGCATGTGTGAATGAACTTGTTGTGCCGTTTGGAGGGAAGAAGCCAAAGATCAGCAGCGATTGCTGCGGTAGCGGCTACAGCCATGATGCCTAAAATAGCTGCGGGCCCTTTTACATCACCCCATGAGATATCTTTGATAGGTGTTGGTTCATTCTTCCTTTCCTTGGCCGATGGCATGCCGGGTGGTGGGGTTACCGACATCAGGCTGAAGCATGGAAGCGGGCGTTTGAATTCCTCGTGCCAGCTCATGGTGAGGCTTAGTCAGCCGAGCGGGTAGCCACATAGGACCTTGTGGAGAAAGCACAGCAGCGTAACCTCTCCCTCACGTGAGTAAAGGTACCGGGCCATTCCATTGTGGTCCCCCATTGGGCAGTCTGTACCATACTTGCAGTTTGGGAAGGGGTTCCTCAACCCAAAAATGCTTTGAATGAGCCGAATTAAAATGTCTGTCTAGTTGTATGTGATTAATAGTAAACAGTGCCTTCATTATTCTCATTTGGGGGGCCTCAATCCCCCCCTTTTTTATGCAGAAGTAGTTTCAAGATACCATTGGCACGTGTGACAATGGCTTGACCTGGAGGATTTCGGGAGAATGCCAGGAGAATGTGTGATTCCCCAATCATTTAGGAGTTGGGTTATGCGATGGGACGTACAAGCCAGGCCATTGTCCGTTTTCAGGTTTTGCGGGATGCCCATTATGGCAAAGCATTCCAAGAGATGATTAATGACATGAGAGGAGCCTTCACCACTCTGAGCGGAGGCCCATAGACATCCAGAGTAAGTATCAATAGTAACATGTACCCATTGTAGTTGTCCAAATGAGGGGAAGTGGGTCACATCCATTCACCGTCGTCGATTGGTGGATAAACCACGGGGATTGACTCCTCCAGGAAGATGAGCAGAAAAAAATTGTTGGCAGCCGGGACAGGAGCGTATGATGTGTTTTGCTTGTGAAAGAGAGATAGAAAACTGTGTAGCCAAAGCCCCTGCCCCTTGGTGAAAAAAGGAGTGAGAATCCAAGGCAGAGGAGAATAAAGATCCGGTAAGTAAGGAATCAGCAAAATTGTTACCCTCCGTAAAAGGACCGGGGAGATGAGAATGACTGAGCATGTGAAGGACAAACAATGGGGAAAACCTGTGTTGTAACAATGCCCGAGCTTCAAGAAACACAGATAGTAGAGGGCGATCGATGTGTGTGTGTGTGTTAAGAGTGGTGGTAGGGAGGTCCGTCAATAATTGTGCCATCAATTGGGAGTCTGTTATTAGATTAATAGGTGCTTGAGAAAAGATCTTTAGAGCAAGAATGGCAGTAGCCAATTCTGCTCTGTGAGCGGGTGTGATAAAGGCTTATAAGCATATTTTCATGTATTCCCCTGTTTCCGTGTTACAGCCCCTCTTGCGGCTGTTTTGGAGCCGACATGAACACTGTAAGAGCATCAAATAAGGTTTTATTAGAAATGAAAGAGTAGGGCGCCTGGGTGGCTCAGTTGGTTAAGCGACTGCCTTCGGCTCAGGTCATGATCCCGGGGTCCCGGGATCGAGTCCCGCATCGGGCTCCCTGCTCAGCAGGGAGTCTGCTTCTCCCTCTAACCCTACCCCCCCTTGCGTTCTCTCTCTCACTCTCTCTCTCTCAAATCAACAAATAAAATCTTTAAAAAAAAAAAAGAAATGAGAGAGTAGGAGGACAGGTGGAAATATCTGAGGCTCTGGATATGTTTATCTGAGGACAATGAGAAGATAAATTGACCCATAAAATTAGCCATTGCAGTTTGGAACTTTTCATCGTGTATCCATAGATTATCCATTTCTTCTTTGCTGACGCCTAGGTAGATAGATTGGGGATCAAAGCCAGTTAGCTGAATTATTCTTTTCCGACCTCTCGTAGGAGCTGTAATCAGAGAGAGATGAGAGGCGACCCTATGTTTGGGTTGCGCTGGGAGGAAAAGTCATTCAAGAACAAGGCATTTATCAGGGCGCCTGGGTGGCTCAGTTGGTTGAGCGACTGCCTTCGGCTCAGGTCATGATCCTGGAGCCCCGGGATCGAGTCCCGCATCGGGCTCCCTGCTCAGGGGGGAGTCTGCTTCTCCCTCTGACCCTCCCCCCTCTCATGTGCTCTCTCTGTCTCATGCTCTCTCTCTCAAATAAATAAATAAAATCTTAAAAAAAAAAAAAAAAAGAACAAGGCATTTATCAGGCAGGACTTGGCAGATTATCCCCAAAGGGGAGTGAGGGGTATTCAAGACAAGGAAAGTTATGCCGGCAGAGGGATCTCTGGAGTCTAATGAAGTAGAGGTTAGTCGTTGGGAGAGAAGATCTAGTTGTTGTTTTGCTCGAGGCATCATGGATCGTGTGGACGCAGGGTTTGGATCTCCCTGTAATAAGTTAAAAAGGGAGGTCAATTGGCAAGTAGGAATTTCTAAAGTGGGACGCAGCAGATTAATGTGTCCGAGGAATTGCCGCAGTGAGCTAAAAGTTAGGTGGCGACGGAAAACGGATAGCCATCTATCGAGGAGTGACTGTCTGCAACACGAGCTTATACCTCAGATATTTCCATGGAGCTGTGTTTGTATTTTCTCAGGAGCGATGAGCAAACCGGCGGCAGTGACTGAATCAATAAGAAACTGTAAACATGTATAGAGAAGGGGTTATTATCTGAAGCAAGCGGGATATCATCCGTGTAGTGGTAAGTATTTGTGGGAATCTATTTCGGGCAGGTCAAAAGGCTGCACTAACAAAAGACTGACACATGGGGGGTGGGGCTCTTCATCATGCCCTGGGGCAGATCCTTCTATCGGTGTCTTTGTACAGCTCTGCGATTGTTGATCATGGGGACAGAGAAGGCAAATTTTTCTTTATCCTCAGGGTGCAAGGGAATAGTAAAGAAGCAATCTTTGAGATCAGTCACAATGAGATTTTGAGTTGAAGGGAGTAAGGAAGGATTTGGAAGACCAAACTGCAAGGGCCCCGTGGGAATCATTTGAGCATTAACTTCCCGTAAATCATGTAGCAATCTCCATTTGCCTGATTTTGGGGGCAGATACAAAAGATAGGAGCATTCCACGGGCTGGTAGAGGGTTCTCTGTGCTCACGAGTTAATTCTACGAGGGTTAATAGGTGTTTTAGTTTGTCCCCTTTTATAGGCCATTGCTCCACCCAAGCAGGGAGTTTCCAAGACAGTCTCTTGGTTTTTCCAAGACAGCTTGAGTGGGGGCGGTTTCTGTAGCGATGGCCGTCAGGATAAATTTGTCTGTAAGGGAAGATTCCATTGCTTTAGTAAGTCTCTTCCCCAGAGAGAAACGGGGATGTTTAGAACAAAAGGTCTTACGATGGCTCGATGCCCTTCCACATCAATGCATCCGACAGGACATTTACTTTGTAGGGGACCGTCTTGGCCCCCTATTCCGGTAAGAGTTTGTGAACGGGGCGCAAGGGGAATTTCTGTTGGCCAGTCTGGGGCTCGAATGACAGCTACATCGGCCCCAGGATCTAGTAAGCCTTTAACAGTTCTTTTTGCAATTGTGATTTGTAAGGCGGGTCACGTGTCCTGTATGGGCACAGCCCCAAAGGCTTCACGCTTGGCGTTGGTACTGCAAAAGCCCTTATCACGTCTTCGTATATTTTGACTATTTGGGGGCCCAATAAGGAAGCAGAAGCCAATGTGCTACTTCGGGCTGTGCCCATATTTCTGCCTAAGCAAAGGAAGTCAACATTATTTGAATTTCCCCTGTATAATCAGAATCAATAACCCCAGGGAGAACGAATATGCCTTTCATAATTGCGCTGGAGCGCCCCCAAATCATTCCTACCTTTTTGACAAAGGACTAAATATGCCTGTTGGGGCCTTTTTTACTTCCCCAGCACTATTAAGGGTCACACCACAAGCAAGAGGCAGGTCCATCCTGTGCTGCCTGCAGCAGCAGCGACCAAGTCTATCACTCGGTGTCGTCTGGGGTGAAGGGGTGGTTGGACATTTTGGGGGTCCATTCCTTTGTGTTGACATTTCACATTTGGGCTTTTGGGTTTGAGGATTGGTTCCGGGTTTGCATCGCTCGTTCCCGCGCCCCTCTTCAAGTTTCCCGACAGCGGGTTTCCCTGCAAGTCGGATTTGGAAGGGCATTGGTTAGTCCAGTGATAATCCCATTTTACATTTGGGGCATTTTTGAGTGGGACGTTTCCGCTCTTGTTGTCGGCATTGTTTCTGAAAATGTCCCTCTTTGCCGCGTTTAAAGTATTTAAGGCGGAGGTGAGCAATACTGCCTTATGAGACTCTGTGCCCACATTTTGGCAGGCTCGGATCATTTCCGCAATATTGGGGCGCTGGCCTCTTACAGGTGCCAGAACCTTTTGGCAGTCCTGATTGGCAATTTCATCGGCCAGTTGAGCAGTTAGAAGTGTTTGTGCATCAGTATTATCCACTTGCCTTGCTATAGCAGTTTGCAGTCTCTCTAGAAAAGTTATACAGGGTTCACTGGCTCCTTGCCGAATGGTAGCGAACGAGCCAGATGGGGTAGGAGAATCTGGAATCCGGGACCGGGCCTTAACGGCAGCGTCTGCTATTTGCGGAAATGCCCTTCGATCCAAATAACTTGGGCGTCCACAGTCCTTAAGGCCCTTCTCCTGATAACTTCTCAATTCCAATAGGTACGTTATTTGTCAAGTCGTCCACGGCAGTTATCTGAACAGCGCCTCGATATTCTTGTAGCCATAAAGAATATTGGGCGGTGTTAAGAACCATTTTGACCAATGTTTTCCAGTCCCAAGGGGTCATCTCCTAACCCCACTGATCCCTTCTGTGATACCCTTTGTGAAAGTACTTGAGGGCCCATTCTCACGGATGCTCCGACGGAGCTCCTGGAGGCCCTGGGATGCTAAATGATCGTGTGGTGGAGCTTGTCCCTGGGCTCCAAGGACAGGACGTGCTCCAATAAAGCCTTCTTGTTCTTGGGCTTCCTTTTTTTTTTTGTATTCCTTTAATATCTTTCCTACCAAGGAAAAGGAGGCACTCTCCTCGACAGCTTTATTTTCTGCCTCTGGGGAGGGCGGAGAAGGAGAAGGCAATTTATCGGGGGGATATTATTGGAGCCTCCAGTGGGGTGGTAGGGGCTACATTCATGGGGCTGTTGCCGTGACTGGGGGCTGCGTCGGCGGATCTGAAGGGGGAGGAATGAGGTCTTGCCAATTAGTTTTAGCTGGTTTTTTTCTGTAAAGAGTGGATAGCTATCCGGCAAAGATCCCATGTATGCAAATGAGAAGCTGTAACAGGACCCAGTGCATTTTTCAGCCATCTGCCCACACGTTCCCAGTCCTCAACTGAACGGGAGCCCTAGGGCATGTACCATGGGAAATGCTGATCTATTACTGACAACAATTGTATTAAATCCTTATCAGTTACTTTGCACGCTGTAAGGTGCAGAAGCACTCGCACTCGCTCCTCATGGACAGCCTGTTGCCTACTTAAAGATGTTCCCATAACTAACACGTTTATAACAGAAAAACAGATCAGAGAGAAATTGAAAGTAAAATCCTGCACGCCTGAAAGAAAAATGTGAGTTCAACCGTCAATCCGTCGCAGACGTCAAGCACCGTACTTCCTACCTGGATGAGCGCACATCCTCTCCCTGTCTCGGGCTTGAGGAGTGATGTGCAGGATGAGGATTATATCGAGTCCTGAACAAAATCCCTGTTCGGGCGCCAAATGTCGTCACACACTGAAATCAAGTTCTCAGACAACCATCTGAGCGGCCCTGCAGGACTGCCTCTGCCAGAGGCAGCCTCAGCTGGGTTCTGCTCATAGCTTTTATTTTGTTTTTTATCAGAAAAGCAAGGACAGATGCCTCCAAGCGTGGGAAAGGAGTACACAGGGATGGCAAATATCTTGAGGCAGGCTTGCATTTTCCCCGACGACGTGTAGGCACGCAGGGAGGCAGTCATGGGATAAGGGAGGAGCAGGAAGGGGGGATGACGGTTACATTCTTTCCTAGCTCCTAACCTATGCCCTGCCCCTGGGGATCTTGGGATCCTGTTCCTTCTGGGCCATTGCTTTCAACAGCCGGAGGCCAGGAACGCTGCTGACGTTTCAGCTGCTTCCACACTCACCCCGTAGGGCTTACAGTATTCTAAGAATAACTCCACACACATATACTAAAAAGAAAATAGTGTTTCATTTAAGAATGTGTATTACTAATTGCATTTTTCCACTTGCATATTGTTTAGTGTATTTTTTTTTTTAAAGATTTTATTTATTTATTTGCGAGAGAGAGAATGAGAGACAGAGAGCACAAGAGGGAGGAGGGTCAGAGGGAGAAGCAGACTCCCCGCTGAGCAGGGAGCCGGATGCGGGACTCGATCCCGGGACTCCAGGATCATGACCTGAGCCGAAGGCAGTAGCTTAACTGACTGAGCCACCCAGGCGCCCCTTGTTTAGTGTATTTTTAATATTTTTATAAATTTTATCCTCGTAACTTATCTATTGCATGATTAATTATACTCAATCTTTACATTTATGAATTTACGGTTCATTTAATGTTTGTAATTTGTTTATATGTTATTTTAAATGCATTGGCTATTAAGTTGCCTTAGTATTTGTAGCATATGAATTGTGAACCATTTTTAGTGCAAATACTGTTTTTATGTGAAATAAACACCAATACGCTAGTATTGTTCTTTTTTTTCCTGGTATTGCCATCACTAATCTTTGTTTAACTTTTCCCGCATATCTTCCAGGTGGTGAGGGCCTTTTTGAAAAGTGAAATAGATGTTAGGCGTGTGGTGTTCTTACATGTGTGGTGGGCAGAATGACGGCCCCCAGAGAGGTCCATGCCCTAGTCTGCAGAACCTGTGAATGCAGTAGGTTTTATGGCACAAGAAGCCTCTGGAAGCTGGGATGGCGAGGAGTGGGCTCCCCCCGGGGCCCCTGCACCCGGTGAGCCCCGATGTTAGTCCGTCCCGTGTGCCATGAGTCCCTGCGCTCGCGATAACTTGTTGCAGCCGCAGAACCCTGCAGTGCTGTGTTCTGGAATCACTTACCTATTTGCACTCACAAACCCAGGTTGGAGGCCTGCTTGGCCCTTTCCTAATGATGCGTAGGAATTCCCTGTGTCTTTCGGGTACTAATTCTTTGTTGGTTGCATGTTGTAAATAAATGTGTTCTGGTTTTCTATTTCTGTAAAGGCCTCTCGACGTGCCTTTTGACACAGACTTCATGACTGTAATAGAGTCAAATGATTGATTGTTCAGCTCTTGTGTTTGTGTCTTGTTTCACAAGTTTCTGTCTCATTCAGGAACAGGAATACAAAACAGCTCCAGGTAGGTTACAGATGGCAGTGTTAAAAAGCAAAACTTTTAAAACTTTCAGTAGGAAGAACAGGAGTGGTGATTTTTTCTGTCCCTGGCCCCGCTCCTGGCCTGGCCCCGCCCAGGCTGATGCTTGGAGCTGGACACCTGCAGGCTCGCCCTCCTGCCCCCCCCAACCACCAGGGAACCCCCCACCCCCTGCTAGGATCCCGGAATTTGGTAAACAGCACCCCCAAGGTGCTCCCTACCCCACGGGAGAGAAAGATCTCTATCTAGAACCCCGGCAGCGGGTCCCACAATGTCCCCCACCTTCAGGCAGGACACTGCACCCCTCCCTCTGCCGGACTGGTCCCAGGACCGAGAGGAACCAGGGACGCCTCTCCTGGCGAGTTCGCAACCTGCAGGACCAGGGCCACCAAAGGGCATTGCTTGGGGATGAGCTCCTCCTGTGCACAAGGAAATCCACCCAACGGGGTGTCTGACCTCAGTCCTCCCCACTCTCCCTGCCCCTCCCCTGCAATCCCAGCACTAGCGGGCTCAGGCGGGCCTGGGGCCTGGGAAGTTCGGTGGAGTTCTGAGGCCTTCCGGGCAGGTGGTGGTCCGTGCCTCAGTCTCCCTGCTCCCTGCCCCTTGCAGGTACAGCCTAATGAGGGATGAAGGGCTGCGGGGCACCCCTCAGCTTAGGGGCGGGCTCCCTCCCCAAACGTGCAGACCCCCTGGCCAGGTTGGGCCTCATCAGCACCTTCTCCTCGGCCTCACTCCATAGAGGGCAAACTGAGGCAGGGATGAGCTGTTGTTCTCAGGCCTCCCGGGTCTGTCAGGATCCAGCGTTCTCATCCGGGCCCGCTGCCTTCCAGGGAGCCAGCGTCCCTGGCTGCCGTTGAGGATAACCTCACTGGCCCCACGTGGTCCTCGTGAGCACTCTGAAGACCCCAAGGGGAGCAGCTCGGAGGGTCACCACTCCCATCGCGGCCCAGCTGACGGGGAGGGTGGCTGGAGGCCCCCTGGAGCGGCTGAGAGCCAGGAAGCCTTCTGCGCACACACCGCCACATGCTCAGCTTTCTGGAGCGGACCTGGTTTTTAGGAGCAAACACGCATCGGCACAAATGAGCACCCAGTTCCAGCAGCCCACGGAAGGAAGGGCTCCTCCTCCTCCCGCACCTCGGCAGGGGTGAGTGGAGCGCTTCTCTTTCGCCCCGCACGCTGCGGTGCGCACACCTGGCCCCTCCCCCACGCAGGCGCCCTAGTCACCAAACAAGAGAAAACACTCCAAGTCATTGTCCCGTCGAAACCGCAGTGCCGTCAGCTTTACGTTACTACGTATTCGTGGAAGGAAAAACCTGCACATTACAACTTAAAAATGGGAACGATTTTACAATTCCCCAAACTGATAAAAGCTTAAAGTCACTCCACACATGAACAGAGAAAATACTGCCTTTTTACTCATTTGAAAGCAAGACCGCCGTCCCTCTGGCCAAGGGGGCCAGGCGTGGAGACGTCCAGTGGGCACCGTGAGACCGTCTGAAGAACGTTCCGGTTTCCTCCCACAGGGTAAAGCTGGGCAACCATTTCCTCCAAGTCACATGGAGCTGACAGCCCTTCAGCTTGTTCAGCAGGAAAGGTCATGTCCACACACACCCCGCATCGTGGGGCCGGGCTCTGTCCCCCCCGTGCCTCCCCCGGCCGAGCCCCCAGCCTGAGCGCCAGAGTGGACCACACTCCGTTTGCCTTTTAATTGTAATCTTGAAACAAAAGGGACAAAACTTTTAGTGATCTTTTTATTATGTTCATATGCTCAGGGTGAAGTGACCCCTAGCCCCGGAAGTAGCAACAAAAATATATTAGTTAGATATTATAATTCTGGTAACTGAAATAAAGACAAATAGAAAACGATGTTAAAACATTAAAAAGTTGCAAATTTTCATTAAAGGTATTTACATGTGTATTCTGATGCCTAATTTATACACATTTTTTTAAATTAGCTTCATAAAATATTCTGAAATATGAAAATAATAGAAATAAATAGTTAAATATCCACAACATATTCAGGAATGAAAAGTCAATTATTAATTCCTGTTCCAAATTTACATATTTATTTATAAATGGCCAAGGGATCTTACAGTTCCTTCCAAATTTTTTATGTTTTATTTGTGGTTCCTTAATAGTCTATAACTCTGTAAGGCTTTCAGTAGCCACGAGTCACTGCTAGGGATCTCAACGTAAATGCAGGATTCTTCCGTAACCAACAATGCTAACTGGTCTTAAATGCACCCAATTTTGTCAATCACTAAAATTAAGTATTTTTACAAGTATTTTTTTAAGTTACATAAGTTACAATATATAGAAAATAGGACACAGATATTTGAAAGTTTTGATCGGAGAACGAATGGTTCCTTCACTAACTCGTGTCACCGCTGCTCTGGTTACGGAAGCGTCTGGTCTGCGCGTGGACGGGCCGGCAGGTCGAGCCGCTGTTCCCGGGCCAGGAAGGCTCCTTTAGTCATCGGTCGGCATCTGCACTCTGCTCTGTCCACTGAAGGTTTATGCTATTTCTCCCCATATACTTTTTATTTTTTAATTGGTTACTGTTTTTAAAGGTAATTCTCTTAGTCTTATCCTTGCTGTGTATGAGAAGGTATTAGTTCGCCCAGAATGGAGAATGAGTCGTGCAGATTCACGGTCACGAACGTACTCAGGGAGCACACCGCTCAAACAGCTGTTAGGGGTTTTCTAAAATACGTTTTGTTGTTTCACACGGTTGGGAACTCAGAATACCTACGCACTAATCATTTAGTCCACATTTCATCCATTGCGCCCAGTTCTCGCTGGTGTTCGGAAAGCCTGCCTGACGCTCAGGAGGCCGCACGGTGGGACAGGAAGGGCCAGCCGCCTCGGGTCCCCGGGGGGCTCGGCCGCGGGGAGTACAGCCCTGCGCGGGGGGACACCGGGGCGCCTCCCAGCAGACTGCTGACGCACACGGGCTGGTCGCCACGGCCGCCCGCAGAGGAAGCACGCGGGCCCACTCCCCGGGCCCGATGGCTGCCCAGGAGCGGGGTCTGGGTTCTTCATTGGAAGTGGTGTTTGGTGTTTGAAGTATCACAGGACCAACTTATGGTCCCAATTCCAGCGTAGACGTGTGAGGGGCAGCACGACAGGCCCGAGGCAGACGCTCTGCGGTCTGGGCTGGAGGCTCACGTGTGACGTACGTGAAGTAGAAGCTACTCCACGCCAGAGTCCACAACACCACGTCTGCCTCTAGGTTTTAGGAGAGGGTTGTTTGACCGACACGTGTGGTCAGGTGAGCTCAGGACAATCGGGGACAGTCACTTCATAATTCTGTCTGGGGGCTGCACACGTGTAGGGGACGTGAGCGCCCTGAGCATAGCCCTGACTCGGAGCCGGGGGGACTGCCGCGGACCCCACGTTCCTCACGGGCCCCGGCGCTCCTCACGAGTGCCGCAGGGGGACCCACGCGCGGTGACCTGTGAGAGTGGGGAGCGTGGGCTCCGTGGACACGGGTGAGAAGGTGCGCCGGGCAGGGGCGGGCAGACCGCGCCCGGCGGGGGGGACGGGGCCTGGTGAGACTCGCGCACGCCGTCTCTCTCCCGGCCGGTTACCACTGCCCGGGGGCCAAGGCCCGGCGGGCATTCTGCCACGTGTGAGAGACCACCACGCTCCAGGTTCACAGCGAAGCCTTTATGGAAGTGACGGCGAGCACACGAGGGGAGAGCGCTGTGCTCGCGTTACGCCCTCCGCGTGCTGACCCACCCGGGCAGCGGGGTCGGTGCCCTTCAAACGCACTGATGCTCTTCTGTTCCCACTGGGCTGGGAGGTCAGACGCCCGGCTGCTTGAGGCTGTGGCGGGTTTGGTCCTAGCCCCGGGAGGCAGGTTCTTCGGTCAGCTGCACATCCGGCCCGACAGGTAAGGACGAGTGGGGCCGAGAGCCGAGGGACAGCGGGGGCGGTGGACGGGTCACCACGTCCAAGGACAGATTTTAGGAGAAATGGTTCACAGTCAGGAAACTTGCTCCGTCCCTTGTGGGGACAAAGGAGGCAGAATGCGTGTCATGTCACCGCTTCGTGTATGTCCTGCCAGAGCTTTTGCTCAGTCCCTTCGGGGTTGGGATCTTGCTTCCAACCTTTGATCCTGAGGTCCCTGATTTGGCCACGGCTGGGCCTTTACCTGCTGGACACACAGACACACAAAACACAGGCACCGTGTTAGGAGGGAGACGAAGACACGAACAGAGTGCGAGGCCGCGGTGACGGCACAGTGGCCCCTCAGTCCGCAGGGGCCCGGGCTGAGCAGGGCAGGCGCGAGGACTGGCCGCACCGGCTGAGGCGGACACGCACGTGAGCCGGCAGAGAGGAAGGAACAGGGCTCAGAGGAGGAGCCTGACGTCAGGGACGGAGGGAAGAGAACGGAGCTGTTTGCCAATTGCTGGCTTCAGAAGCTCAGCTCCAGTAATGAAGAAAGGGGCGGCCGTGAGACTAGGGCTTCGTTTCCGGGCTGAGGAGCCTCGGGCAGGCACCCCCCTGGTGGGGGTGGCCCTGGCGGGGAGGCCAGAGAAGGGTCCCAGAAGGGGCAGGAGACAAGGAAGACGACAAGACAGAGCTTCCCAAGGAGGTCAATGGAAGGATCAGAGGATCGCAGAGGCCCTTGGAACAACTTGGAAGCCCTGGAGATGTTAGCTGAAATGCTGTCATTGGGTCAGAAAAGTTAGTCACAACCCCTCCAAGTGCCCGTATGCCTGGTTTCTGGAAGAGGCTGCTGTGGGGCGGGGGGGGGGCCGTCAGCCGAGCACCGCCCTCGGCACACCCCAAACGTAAAGCTGTGCATCCAACAGTGTTTTGGTTGGGAATAATTTTCTAATGAAAAATATCATATTTTCCTCTAAGGCATTCTAAATCTGACATAAAATAGTGAAAATCATGATTTATAAAACAGGTAGTGGGCATTATCTGTGAATCTACATTTAACTTTGTGTTTCTAAACACTCTGGTTTGGTGATGCAGAAAGAGGCCGAGAACAGGGTCTGCACCCTAAGAACACCCGGGGGCTGGTCTGCTGCGTCCATGACGCCGCGAGGAGCCTCCAGAAAGGGCAGGATCCATGCACGCATCTAGTGCTGACAGAGTTCTGGTCAGGCAACGAGCCTCCTCACTAAGAGCCGGAGACAGGATGCAAAGACTGAGTGACAACGGAGGGCAGGGACCCCACCATGTGGGCACCGACGTGCAGGAAGGCGCGGGCCTTACCCGGCGGCAGAGTGGGTGCCTTGGGCAGCACGTGGGTCTTACGCAGGTTCATCGTGCAGCCAGCGGGGCCCATGAGGTGAGCTTTCCACGCCTGAAACAAAGGAGGCACATGGTGCGTCAACCCGGCACCCGAGGGAACAAGCGAGATGAGCTCCGCCAGAGCCGAAACCAGGGGCAGCCGCAGCTCCTGACCGACCCGGCAGACGGAGCATCGTCACGGACCGGGTGCCACCGTGTAGGTCTGGGGAGCGCACGGGGCTGTGGGTGGCCTCCAGGAGCGCAGGGTGGCCCCTGGTTGATGGCCAGCAAGAAAGCAGGGACTTCAGTCCTAGAATGACGAAGAAAGAACTCTGCCAGCAGCTGGGTGAGCTTGGCGATCCCTCCCCAGCCCAGCCCACAGATGGGATCGCAGCCTGGTGAGACCCTGAGCAGAGGAGACGTTCGGCTGTGCCCACAGCTCCCGACCCACAGAAACCGTGAGACCGTAAAAGGGTGCTGAAGCCACCAGCGAGGGGCCATTTGCCACCCAGCACGGGGGACCGAACTCTGAGAAAGCAGACGGGAAGCTTGAGAGGCCTGTTGACGCCTGTAGCTGCGAGCCAGGAGCCGGGCTGCCGTGCTCAGAGCCGGCAGCTACACAGGGCAGCCAGAGGAGGGGACGGGGTGTCACGGAGCAGTCAGAACACAGATGCAAAGGCTCCTAAATTCTAAAACTAAAGGGCACGCGAGAGAACGTGTGTGTGTGAGAACTATGTATATGTACCCTTTAAAAAGGCTAAGCCGTTAAAAAGAAAGGAGCCCTGTAAGGAAGGAGGGGTGGGGAGCAGGGACAGCAGCTGCTCTCGGTTCCCTGAGCATGTCCCGTTTTATAGGCTCTGGAACAAGCAGAGTTCTTTATGTCATTACAGGACTTAATTAAAATAATCCCCTATTGTCATGGAAGGACACACCAGCATCCAAGAACCAACCGCGGGAGAAACTAAGTTCTCAAACTCAAAGGTGCGTCCGACCCGGCCTAACCTCCAACCCACAGGAAACGGAGGGGACGAGAACTACATCGAAGGATGCCAGGAGGGACGCAACCAGCAGACGCAGCCCACGCGAGCCCTGCGGCCACCGGCCCCTCCGAGCTGTAGGGAAGAGCCCGCCCAGGAAGCGGTCCCCGGGGCGGCCTCCCCGGAGCCCGGACACGAGCGCTTCTGCACCGTGCTGTGGCTGTGCTCCGGGGAGCACGAGAAGGGGGCACACGGTGGGTGCAGATGAAACGCGCGCCCGCCGTCCTTCAAGCGGGGACGGGACGCCAAGGCTGCCTGCGGGCTCCTGTGCGCCGCTGTGTGCTTTGTTACGGACTTGACGTCTTCTGAGGCAGGGAGGACGAGCCTGGGACAACCGTGCGGGTATGGGCTGACTGGCGCAGTCCCCTGCAGAGCCGTCTCGCGCGCACCGCGTCCCCGAGGGCTGGGACAGGGAGAGCCTGGCAGCAGGACGCAGCCGGGCGGCAGGTGGCAGCGGTGAAGGGGGTCGGGGCAGAAGCAGCTGAGCAGAGGCAGGTCTCCAAAGCCACACTGCCTGGCACACGGAGGTGAGGCACGGACGGCCCTGCCCCTCGAGCACTAAGCTGGAGTCAGCGTGGCTGACGAGGGAGGGACGAGAGCCTGCAATCACCCGTGATGTGGGATTTCCACGCGGCGCCGAGCTCGGCTTTAGTCATGCGAGGGGACCGGCGTGCTGCGGTCTGGCCTAGACGCCATCTGGGGCCCCAGCACACGGAGGAGCGCAGAGGCCGGACGGAGGCCAGAGCCCCTCACACTCCCCGCCGCCAGAGCTGAGCCCCCCCAGCCCCCCAGAGGGTCCACGGCGCTGCGGAGGGAGGAAAGCACCTGGGCAGGCAGCGCGGCAACAGACCGGGGTGCTCCCCGAACACCCCCGCGCCCTGCCCGCGGTCCAGCCCCGACAGCCTCGTCACCGTCACCTGCACGGGGCTGGCCCTCACCTGCTCTCCAGGGGAGAAGTTCTCATGGCACAGAGGACACCGATTTGCCAGCTTCTCTGGTTTGGCAGCTGAAAGGGTGTCAGTGAGACAAGATTTAGTTCCTCCCGTGAGACCTGCACGGGGAGCAGGGCACACCTGACCGGACACCCCCTCTGCAGCGGGCCCCCCCAGGCAGGGCACCGCGGACACGGAGGGCACCGCCTGAGCCCGCACTCACGGTTACACTCCTTCGTTTTTATGTGTCTGGGCAGCTCTTCCTTCAGAACAGCCTCGCTGCAGCGGTAACACTTTCCAAACCCGTCTTTCTTGTCGCATTCTGTCAGCAAGTGCTCCGTCAGGCTGGAGATCTCCACCACCTGCATTCCGAAGTGCAGGAGGAAGCACGTCTCCGAGAACACTGCAGCGCCTGCTGCCCCCGCCAGGCTGCGCGATCCGAGCTCGTGCTCCTTAGCTCCGTCCTCACCCCGCTAGCCCACAGGGCTTCTGCCATCCTTCCTGGCGCTCTGCTCAACACCCCGTGTCCCCTCATCATCTTACTGTGGTAGCATCTAAAGGCCACGGCTAAGGGTGAGGCCGGAGGAGTGACGGTTAATTCCAGTGGGACACAGTGAGCCGCAGAACAGCTTAGCCATGTGGCCTCTGGGTTCAAAATCCCGGCTCCCTCACACTTGTAATGTGCACAGGATCCCAGGAAGAGTGGTAGGAGAGTCCCCTGCCACGCTGGTAGGTTATATGCACGACAAAACTTCATGCCACGGACTCACACACCCTGCTGGAAAAGTCAGCACCTCCACTGGGGTCTAGAGTCCGCACTGCCTGCCCGAGGGTATGGAGGGGTCTGCCCACGCGGGAGCTTGCAAGAGCCCCAAGGCAGAGGCAAGAAGTTCCTTCTCTCAGTTCTCCCCCTTTATCAAAAGAAAGGCCACTGCATCAGAGAAGAGATTCAAATTTGGGGGGTAGGAGAAGATTTCTTAAACAAGATACACGAAGTGTCAACCATGAGAAAGATGCATAAGGTGGACAACGTTAAACTTAAAGGACACATTAGGATGACGGACAGGTTGGACCCCAAGCGGGAGAGGCCTGCTATGGCATCTGGGGCCGGCAAAGGACCCCGGTCCAGACACAGCAAGAATGACCACAGATCAGTAGAGTAAGATTGGCAATCTTTTAAAATGCAAACCAGAGGGCGCCTGGGGGGCTCAGTCGGTGAAGCGTCTGCCTTCGGCTCAGGTCATGATCCCAGGGTCCCGTGTCCGGCTCCCTGCTCAGTGCGGAGACTGCTTCTCCCTCTGCCCCCGCCCCCCCACTCTCTCTCTCTCTCCCTCGTAAAAATAAATAAAATCTTAAAAAAAAAAAAAACAACCCATGAACAAGAGACTAGAAGGTATTTTCTAAAAGAAGGCAGCTGAGCAGCCAGCAGATGGACGGAGGGACGGACAGGTGCCGCACCTGACCATCCGCAGAAAGCAGGGAGGCGGTGAGGATGAGGAGCAGCCCCCCACACCCTGGCTGGTGCGTGGACGTGTGGCCCCTCTGAGCCCCGCCTGCGTCAGCCCTGCAGCCCAGTGGGGTGCGCCCAGCCACTCCACCCCCGGGGTGCACCCCAAATGGTGCTTTCACAGGCGCACTGGGAGATGGATGCCAGAATCACTCATGGTAGCCTCAAACTGGACACAGCCAATTTCCAAAAACAGTAGGACGGAGGGATGGATTGTGGACTGTTCGAACAATGACTGCTATAAAGCAGGAAGACTAACACGACACAAAATAATTACAGTTTGTAGGATTCCATTTATAGAAACTCAAAAAGCGAGAAACACTGACTTGTGGTGTCGGGAATCGGGACAGTGGTGACTCTGGGGGGAGAGGCGGTGCCTTCGAGGCCCGGGGAGCTGGGGCACACGGTGCCATTCTGTGGGGGTTCAGGGGCTCAAACGCTTCTGACCTGTATATGGGCACCTCGTCAATACCGTGTTGTTTACGGACTGAGGGTTTGTGGCAACTCTGCAGCGAGTGAGGCTGGCGCCATTTTTCCAAGAGCATTTGCTCACTGTGTGTCTCTGTGTCACATTTTGGGTGTTCTCATGGTATTTCAAACCTGTTCGTTGTAATCACATTGGTCACGGTGACCTGCGGTCAGTGAGTAGGACTTGCGGAAAGCTCAGACGGCGGCTAGCATTTCTTAGCAGTAAAGTACTTTTCAGGTACTTTCGTTGTTTTTTGGACGCCACGCTGTCACACACTTAACAGACCACAGTACAGTGTGGACGTAACTTGTGTGCGCCCTGAGAAGCCCGAAACGCCCCTGGCTGGCTCTACTGCGGTTTCTGTTTTCCTGTGCTGGTCTGCAGCAGGACCCCCGCGAACCCCGAGGGGCGTCTGCACATTTACGTGCGCGCCACGTACTTCGGTGAGAGTCAGGGAGAACGCACCAGCTGCACACACAGAGGGGGGCTCTCCATTCAACTATGTCCCCAGGCCTTGTCCTCTGCGGACGCCGCGGCCCGGGCAGCCCTGCAGGGACTGACCTGTTTGCAGTGGGCGCACCTCGTCAGCACGGGGCAGCGCTTCCAGTAGTGACGGTCCAGCCCCTCTTCTGTGAAGGACTCACTCCTTTCCCCACAGAAGATGCACAAACTGGAACAGGACAGGAGCCGGAGATGAAGGCATGGGCGTCGTCCAGGGACGCGCACGCCTTCCCCGTCTGCGGGCGGCCTGGGGTCCGTGGGGGCACAGCGCGCGGGGGCGCAGTAGGAAGAGCGGGTGTTTGTGACAAACTAGCGCGAGGTCCCTTCAAGTTCTAACCCGTCAGCATAATCAGGCAGAGACACTAAGTCACAAGAACAAAGATATTCTACTGAAATGCCTGTAGATTTGCCGTGTGGCTGCACAGGGAAAAGTGTTTTGCTGTCACAATATTCTGGGCCTTTAGCAGCGCTCTGACAAACGGCTGCTCGCTTCCCTGGGCGTAAAGGGGGAACGGCATCCTGACTCTCCCGGGGCGGCGGGGGCCCATCGGTCCGGAGGGCCAACCCGACCTTTACGAATGACTGGGAAGAGCCGGTTAGCTTACATAATCCCACCGCGCTCGAGAAATATTTCCTTCGCGGCACCTGCACGCGGCCGGCCCCTTCAACCCTCGCAGCACAGGCTAAAGAACCTCTACTCACTTATCTAAATAGTGATTATCTGGGACCTCTGGAGCCGGCGGTGGGGCTGCTTTCCCTCCTTGTGTGTCTGAAACGAAAATAGAAAGGATTTAAAATAACCTTCTGTAAAAATTATTTTCAAATTTTTAGTAACCAGTTTGATGTGAAATACATTTAAAAGCACCCAAGTTGAGGGGCGCCTGGGTGGCTCAGGCGGTTGAGCGTCCGGCACTTGATCTTGGCTCAGATCATGACCTCAGGGTCGTGGGATGGAGCCCCGTGTCGGGCTCCACGCTTAGTGGAGAGTGTGCTGCTCCCTGTCCCTCTGCCCCTCCCCTGCTTGTGTTAATCTTACATTCCCTGGGTATTTGCTCAGGGAATGAGGTGGCCGCTGCAGACAGTCCCCATGCCCAGTACCTACCCTGACTCTCCGCCTCCACTGAGGGGCCTTCTTTCCCCTAAGAACAAAAACAGAAAGATCAGGGACAGATGGCTGCACAGTGAGAGTCTGTCCAGGACGCATTTTGATGCCGAAAATAAGTTCTTCGTTTTCAGACCTTCTACCAACAAGTAACAGAGCTCTATGAGCCGTGAACGCCCAAATGTGTGTCTTCCCCTCACAAGCCCCACTACGGGCTCCTGTCCCTGCTGCCGCTTCCCAGTGGCTCACCCTCCTCAGCGCCCACGGACTCTGGGCAGCACGTGACTGTCACCCTTCTCCACGGATGCCTGGGGCACCCCAGGAGCCCCATCTCCTCAGCCGCCTCCCGTTCCTGGCTCCTCACGCTAGGCAGGCTCTTCCTGGTTCCCAGGCTCACAGCCCTCGGTGCGAGTGACCATGGGTTCAAGCCTTCTCTCCTTGGGGGTCCCAGGACCCAGCTTCTCCTGACCAGGCTGAGCCGCTGCCCCAGCCTGCACTGTTGCAGATCAGGAGCCAGAGCCCCGGGCACACGCTCGGAGAGACCCCCGACATCGCCCCTTCTCCCCACTCAGCCTCCATCAGCCTGCCAGCAAATCCTAGCCTGGACTTAGAGCACACCCAGGCCACGCCTCATCTTGCCAGATCCGGGGGCCTGCTTCGGGGTCGTCCCACGCAGTGGCTGGTGGGCCTGTGAATGCCTCGGCAGGCTGATTTACTTTTGCTTGAGATCCTCGGCCGGCTTCCTAGGTCAACTGTCCCCTCATCTCGAGTCTGCAGTGCCTACTGTGACCTGGCTCCAGCCGTCCCTCCAAGGGCCTGGTGCTCAAGCTCCTGCCCTCTCCTCCTCTTGCCCAGGTTTTCCCCCCGAGGCCCCCCAGAGCAAGGTGTCAGCCAGCAGCCCCTCCTGGGCTCCGCCACCGTCTCCCGCACTCGCTTCTGTATCTTGATCACCATCCGACGCCCCTGAAAGAGGCGAGGGTCCCCAGCGATGGAGACTCTTGTCTGTTCTGTTCTCTGGCGCACACTGTGCCCAGCACGCTTGTGGACTAAACGGGTAACGTGCCATAGCAGCGTTCCCACGCTGAGGCAGCCCTCAGTCTGATGGGCCGGGCCGCGCTCTTCCTGCCAGGCTCCTGCCCTGGGTCAGACACCCTGCGACTGGGGTGCTAAGGACGCAGGGGAGCGCTGAGCCATGGAGCAGGCAGAGGGGTCCCTTATGAGCAGCAGAGGGTCCCTGCTGGTAGCAAGCCGTGGCGGGGCTCAGGCCTTCCTGCCGCAGCTCCCCCCCCGCCCCAGAGCCCTGGGGGCCGCGTCAGCACGTCTCCTCCCCGGCTCTCTGAACACTGCCATCGTCCCTACAAAGCCCGACCGTGTGGTGAGCGCCTCACAGCACCCCCGAGCACCGACCAGCCTGGCCTGCAGGTCGGGGGGGGGTTGAGGGCCTTCCTAGACTTTCAGTTTCAGGGAACAGGGACAGTGAGTGGCCTTACACGTAGCATTTAAGGGATGTGTTACAAACATGGGTACTGCATTTGTAGAGAATCACGCTTCATGTCAGAGTAAGTGACCCCCGTCACAGCCAAGCACGGAGCAGGACACACACCAGAACACAATCTTAGAGCTGGGGACGGTTAGTAGATGAACTTCGTGAAGCTGGCACGGGGCTCACATGATTTATGTGCCTACACAGAAAGCAAACTCAGCGGGACTGCATTTTAGGCATCAAAACCTCTTAAGAGAGACGGGTTTGGGGGCGCCTGGGTGGCTCAGATGGTTGAGCGACTGCCTTCGGCTCAGGTCATGATCCTGGAGTCCCGGGATCGAGTCCTGCATTGGGCTCCCTGCTCGGGGGGAGTCTGCTTCTCCCTCTGCCCCTCCCCCTGCTCGTGCTCTCAGTCTCTCTCTCTATCTCTCAAATGAATAAATAAAATCTTTAAAAAAAAAAAGAGAGAGAGAGATGGGTTTGTGTATTTTGCAGGGAGACAATGTAAGCAACGCTGAAAGCTGGATGCTTTGAATAGCTTAGAAAACCGATCAGTAATTTTCAAATCCTTTTTTCTAAAACTCGGGAGCGATCAGGCAATCTAAAAATATGGTCATTCCCAGAAGCTTTGGAGCCGGATGGCGGGCACAGTGCTAGTCCCGTGACTGCACTTAATGGTGCAGGCCTGCACACCTGAGCATGGTTAAACTGGGAAGCATGCTACGGATACTTCACCACGAAAGAAGCAACAGAGAAAGAGACTCCGTCGTCCTCAGCAATCATTCTAGGACAGTAGGCCCACGTCCGCCCCTGCCCCATGGTCCACCCTGTATTGCTTTTTCTTTCACTGTCTCTTCCTCTTGGAGCAGTGGCCCTGAGGGGCGGGCAGGACTTCGTTTTGCTCCCTGCTTATTCCCAGAGCTCAGCACAGAGCAGGTGCTCAGCAAACGTAACGAAGGCAGACGAGCTGGCGAACGCACTCCGGGGAAACTGAAGGACGCAGCTACCCAGCACCGTTTCCACAGACGTCTATGCGGGGCGTGGCCTTAGCAGTGCCCACAGCATCTGGGGCTGGGCTCACTGCGGCTCGGGGCTGCGCCGTGACGGGGAGGAGAGAGGGCAGCACAGCCCGGCTGTCTTGGCTTAACCGCTGAGAGGTCTGTCCTTGGGGTAAGTTGCCTGAGTTTTAAAAATCTGTTTGCCCATTGGGGCGCCTGGAGGTGACTCAGTGGGTTAAGCGTCTGACTCTTGATTTTGGCTCAGGTCATGACCTCAGGGTCGAGAGATAGAGCCCTGTGTCGGGCCCTGCGCTGGGCGTGGAGCCTGCTTGAGATTCTCTCTCCCTCTCCCTCCCCTCCTCTATTCACGCTCCTTGTCTCTCCCTCTCTAAAAACATAAATAAATAAAATAAATTCATTTCTCTATTTGTATGACATTAGGAAAAGTCGAGTACCTGCCGCACCTGCTTTAGCAAGCAGCTGTGAGAATCGGACCAAACACGAATGTCTTAAAGAACCACCCTTGAGGGACGTCTGGGTGGCTCAGTCAGTT